AAGGTTCTGATAGTTGCTCTTACTTAATTGGAGCCTTTTAAATTCCATGGCGTCCCCAGTTTTGCCCGATTGTCTCCACTTTTGGAGATAGCGGTACTTGAAACTTTGCTTAAATTTGAACTATTTTATAAAAAAAACTCTTAGTTTTTAAGATATTTTACTAAAATTTTGCACGCGCTTGTATTTTAATATTTCCTTCACTATCTCATAAAATCATCGAAATTTTTTGTCAGTGCCTTGAGATCTGCACGATTCGTTCCATTTTCAAAAATGGAGTGTCAGATTAAAAAGCTTGACCTGTGGACAATAGAAGGTTTATTTTTTTTAAAGAGTTGCCACCTGTTAAAAAATTTGATTACAATTTTTTTATAAGTTAAATGAATTATTAAGAGATGGATATCAATCGAAATGTGTATTAACTACATGCAGAGAGTTTCCACCTGTTTAAAAAATCAAATTCCACTTGAATTAAAGGCGTAAGGTAATTTAAATGGATAGGTATCACCATAAGGGAACGAAAGAGGTTTCAGAAGGTTTTAGCTTACAAATATTACGAATAGGGTTGCCACCTGTTTGTAAAGTCGAATTTAGGTAAACTAAAATAATAATTACGTCAAACCATAGGATTACGCCATCGTATTTGTTATCTTATTACAAATACATACTTTGTCAGTCAGTGATTTGTTCTGATTACATTCCTTTTAAATTACTGGACTCTTAAATTAACTCAGGAATGTTTTTACTCTTCACTTATTTCTTTCTAAATATGTAAAATTTTTTCATTTTTCTGATACTCATATTGATATACATATTTCAGTTGCCTTATTCTCTTAATTAAAGTGAATTTGATTTTTTAAACATGTGGAAACCCTTCTACGTGTCGTTTAGAAGTAAAGTATTTTCAAAACTAGTTCAATTGATACCCATATTGTAATATCTAACTCATTTGACTTATTAAATAATTTTTGTAAAATTTATAACAGGTTGCAACCCTTTTCAAAAATAATAAACTTTATTGCACATTGTCATTTGACACCTCACTTTTGAAAATTGAACGAACTATATGTACATACCTATGTAAAAGCCACAAAAACCCAAATTTTCAACTTCAAACTGCATTTACAGTGAAAGTATGAAAGTTATCCAAAAACAAATTGCATTTTTAACTGACTTCCAAAAAAGGAGGAGGTTATCAGTCCGTCGGAATATCTATATTTTTTTAATGTATGTTTGTTACCGCATAACTTTGGACCACGTCAACCGATTTCGATAACTCTTTTTGCGTCGGAAAGGTAGTGTCTCAGAGGTGGTCCCATACTACATAATCTGGTTTAGATCCGATCATTGGATCATGAAATATATATATATATATTTTTTTTGTAAGTCGCTTTTTTTTGCTAAAAATTACTTGTTGAATTTAGCGTCCTCAATTTTACTAAGAAGCGAATTTTCATTTAAATCCGGCCATAATTCTATTTTTGCCCACATTTTATATGTAAAAAAAGCACTGTGCGCTGGTGAAAACAAGAGGCGCACTTGGTTTTGGCAAGTTGTGCCGCCTTCTGGTCACTCGACGTTTGGCTTTGTTCGCCGGAGGATGGAGTATGAACTATCGGCTAAAATATCTCGAGCATCGCTCCGGGTCCGACGAAGCGTGGTCGCCAAAAGATATTTCAACTCTGTCGTCACGTTCGTCGGGTTGGACAATGACCTCACGGTTGACTAAAGCTTACTGACACCAGAAGCGAAGTTGCAGGTCTTCACGTTCACAAGTTGCCGAATCCCTGATACGGGGATTTCTGGGATCGGCCTGACGAAGGTTATCACGCTCATCGGCTAGGACAGCCGTTTCTGCAGGAAAATTCGGACGGGGTCCGAAATGCATCCTGCTGGAACGAAGCGGGCTGCTGCACCTGCGCGCAGGGTTTATCGTGATTCCCTGGCAGCAAGGCTTAGCATCACGGTGTCCGCACTTAGCCTTAATCTCTGCCCTGACAACCCTGCGGAATTTACGCTACGTGAACGTCGGTTGGTGTGGGTAGGGCAGTGAAGGTGCTTTCAGTAACATCCTCGAAGCCTTCCAGTCAGCTTTGGTGAAGTTGACATAAGTGCGGTGATCCGCGGAAGCAAAGTCGGCTGGTTTATCAATCGAGATGACTATGGCCATATGGTCTGATGCTAAGGTCAGCATAGGTCGCCATGATATGCTGTTTATCAGACCAGCGCTGACAATTGTTAGGTCTGGCGACCTGCAGCAGCTGCCCATAATCCTGGTGGGTGCGTCGTCGTTCTTTGTGTAGAATATCGAATCGACTATATGCTCATTTTCGTCGTTGATATTTCTTTGGCAATATTTAACTCAGTAAGCCATCCATCGCATGATTCTTCTACAAAATTGCCTGTGGTGGGTCGATTACGGATGGCAACCGAACTTCAGTTGGGTGGCCAGTAACTGAAATGGTATTACAGATGGCATCTGGCAACTGAAACCTGGTAACTGAATTGCTATATTGACAACTGCAGTTTTGTGGTTGCCGCGGAAATTTTGATTGATATAATTTATTTCCTTTTTCAACTGTTTCTTCAGCTTATTTACACTCAAGTCTTAGTTGTTAGTATTTTTAACGGACTTAAAAAAATGAGAAGGTTATCAATTCGTCGGAATATTTTTTTTTTATGGATGTTACCGCATAACTTTGGACCACGTGAACTGATTTCGATATTTTTTTTTGTCGGAAAGGTCATACCTCAAGGGTGGTTCCATACTGATTTGGTTTAGATCCGATCATTGCATCGTGAAGAAATTAACGGTACTGCTAAATTTTTATATGAGAATTGAAGTCGGTTTTGCTTTTTGCTGAAAAATTACTTGTAGAACCTTCAACTTTATAAAATTTAAATACAGTTTCTATTCATAATATACATTTTCATTACAGTGGCGTTGCCCATCGGTAACCCAACTAACTAAGGTTGCATTGCCATCCATAATCGGCCAATTAGTCTTCCAATATAGTAAAACAATAATGTGGTTTTATTTTCGTGCATTTATTTTCTGCCAAACCTTAAAAAAAAATTATGGGTCGATTACGGATAGCAACACAACAACGGTTCGGTTGCCAGCTGACAACGCAACTGGAAAAAAATTTGTATTACGAATGCCAACTATCGTCAGTTGCTGTAGAGTTATCGATAATCGAAATTTGACAGTTCGATAACCAGCAAGCGGCTGTAAACATGCTGTGCGAGTAAAATTAAATTATTAAAATAAAGAAATTTAAAGATAACACAGCAATAAAGTTAAATTAATCACAATAATTTGTTTAAGAGGGAGGGAAGTGCATGAACGCGGCCTCAATCAGGCGACTTTTAAAGGATAATTCCAATCCTCTATAGCTACCGTGGGCACTGTAAGAAAAAGTTAATGCTTGCAAGATTTTTCTTTTATTATCGTTTTGTGTTCATTTTAAAAGCATATTGAGGACTTCCAAAAGAAGCTGTAGTATAATTGGTTAATAAACAGATGAACCACTTCGTTCCACTTCAATACCTAAGCTCATAAAAGCTTGCGCACCTCTTCGATTTTTCGCAGAAGGAAGTGCCACTGCAATGACTTCAATTTGGAAAACTTGGTGTGTCGGTAGTTTTAAAAGAGGTACTTTAGTTGGTAAAGCAAAAAATTTGCAATCAGTGTTCCCTTTTTTTTCGCCAAAAGGGCGTCCTCCACGGGAACTAAAATTTCAAGTTATTGTTTTGTTATTTTCACCATGTTCTGTAAAAGCAAACTGCATTGCAAAATGTTAATATCGTTCAAATTATTAAAAAGTAAAATATATGACACGCTCCAAAACATTCCCAGCAACCACAAAAATGAAGTCACCTGTATACACACTTTGTAGCAACTGCAGTTGTCAGTTGAAAGTTGCCAGCCTGAAAAAAATAGCAGTCAACAGTACATTTTTACTGACTACTGAACTTTTTTACTGACTACCATGACCATGTATGACTGACATGATGACCATGTATGTAAAGACTTTCACTATTTTACTTTTCAAAACCCAGTAGGGCATATTCATAGTCGAAATAAAATCGACTTAGAGTAGACTTTATTTCATGTATGACTCTTCTCCATTATTTTTAATAAATTGTCAAAAATAGTCGTTTCTCTTAAAATAATAACCTATTGATGAGGGGTATATTAAAAAGACGCAATATGCATATTTTGCATTTAGTATGAAAAAAATGCAGTTAAAAAAAGTACTTACATCATTAAATAAATAATAAAGTTAACACAAATACATTGGGGGAAATGCTAAGCTACAAAAACGGTGCATTAATTCCATTTGAAAAATATTTGACATAATAAAGAGATTGAAATCAGTCCAAATCTAGCCAGAGGTATAATTTTTAAGTGCCTTTGAAAAGTAAATACTAAAAGCATTTTTAAACACAAAAGAAAAAATATAATTTACGAAGGAATTGTCAAAATGTGTATATAGAATTTTAAATCAAAGAAAAATAAGCCTATTTTTAAAAAGTCGGTGTCAAGGGGCATCGATCTCCAAAAAGTGTCAATTTGAAACTTTAGTCGCGCAACGGTAACACTGCTGGAAAATACCAGTAAGCAGTAAATTTTTACTGATTACTGAAAAATAGCAGTAAGCAGCAAAAAGAAAAAGAATACGTGAGTACTTTTTTGTTGTTTCAGTATATGTATAAAAAAAGATTTTGATAGTTTCTATTACTCATGCATTCTCATTCCGATTGGTATGTTTACAAACTCTGTTGTCCATATTATTGCTCAAATACAGTGAAAAAAGTTGGACGGAGATGATCCTTTCTTGCATTAAACAAGTAAATTTTTACTGATAACGAAATTTCATTTGCATTATAAGTAAAATTATTATTGATTAAGAAAGTTCGTATTGGTAGTTAAAATTCAATGCACAACCACCAAACTAAGTAAATCATTAACAAAATTGCGTCAATTTTTTTCTTTCAAACGTTTATTTTGAACATATGTATTTATTATAAGCTGTTAGCTTGCCTTTAAACAAGCAATTCAAAATTTACATCGTTAAGTTTTTGTCTTCTGGAACGATTCACAATCCCAGCGAATGAAAACAACCGTTCTACGGGCGCAGATGAGGGTAATGGCGTATTATATTTAAGAAAAACGTTTTCAATCGTTGGATGTTTTTTTAGACAATTTGTTGTTGTGTCTCGTTCGATTAAGTATAAAATTGTTTCCTCAAGATAATTTTCTGAGTCTCCGGAAATACACTGTATGCCAACATCTATTTAAGTGGATAAACAAACGTATATAATTATACACATATTTAATGGAATATTAAGTGTAATAATTTTACCGTTACTTTCTTCCTCGAAATCGAGGAATGATTTCTGGGGCGTTTGTGGCAAAACACGAGTTTCGTCATCCGCTATTTTACCATACATCACCACAAAAGTATTGAACATTTTCGTCACTTCCTCTTCTGTTTGCGTTGTTGCTATTTCCAAGAGGCGCGCAGTGGGCTTCCTTGTGGCGAGTGGTGGTGCTGCGGGAGGTACAATCTCCAAGTGATCGCCAACGGTGGCAACTTGATAGGCGACACAGCTCTTGCGGCGACGGGGTAGCGGTGGTGAACTGGATGCACGGTCTTCGTTGCGACGATGGAGTGGATGATCACCTGTTGATAGGCGACACAACTCTTGCGGTGACGGGGTGGCGGTGGTGAACTGACTGCACGGTCTTCGTGGCGACGATGGAGCGGATGGTCACCTGGTGCACTCAAATGTCGGTGCTGTTGGACGGCTTATTTCGCCGGACACTTTGGCACAAAAAGTCTACAAATGTATTTAATGGTACTTTATTTGTACGCCCTTTACAAAGCAAATTTATTATAATAAGCCGTATGCGGTTAAATTACAAAATGCGGATGAACTAAATATATGTTCTGAGAGTCTATGATTTTCACGCACGAGCACTACGACTTCTTTTTAGAAACGGTAGAAATTATGCGGATATTTAGGATTTCGCTTAACTATTTCGCGCACGAGCACTGCAGCTTTGTGTGGATACCAAAAAACGATTGATGAAAGGAAAAATATAAACTCATCTGTCAAATGCAAAGTATGTACATACATACAATATGTGTATACAGCGAGTGCTCTTGCTAGCGAATAGCTCCCGCGTTGCCAACTACTTAAATAATCATAACGTACAATAATGCTTACATAAAGTGTTCACTAAATATAATTCCAAGTGCAATGTATGCAGTTTGATAAATATAAATTCAAAGGTATTCAAAAGATACAATGGCAAAAGTTAAAATCATATTTGGTAGATGTTTTAGTACAAATTCAAAAGTAGATACGCATAGTTATGAATGCATACAAATTCAATAAATACATACATAGGGTGCTAGCGTATATATCGCATAGATATGAATGCATACAACTTCAATAAATACATTCGATGAAATACTGTGGACGGGTTTCCGCATTGGTCGCTCCAACATCCTGCCGGCCCTAGACGCATTAAGCGGCTAGTGCCTCCTTCAGCTCCTGTAGAGCCCGCATCGCCTCATGAACCAGGATGCTGGTGACTTTACCCCGATAGGAGGCAGTTTGTAGCCCACGGGCGGTACGTCGAACGGTGCGTTTTCCATTTGCGGACTCTGAGGTATGGTGTCCGAGGTGCTTGAAGCGCGGTGGTGTACGCCCTGATCCCCCACGTTGGGGAGCGTTTCTATTTGTGTGGACCAGGCGTTTGGGGGGCTGCACTGCGGAGTTCACATTCGTGCGGCGAGCTGCCGGTGTACTATTCCGGTGTAAGAGTGTGTGATGTTGTAGCGAGCGATGTGCGCGGCGCTGGCGTGGGGGTTCCCCTGTCGTCCATCTGTAAAGAGTTAATATACGGAGACCTTTAGTTTTTATATGGGAGGCATAGGAGAGAGATACGAGAAGTATGTATGTGTGTGTGGTGTATGAGAAAAGGTGTGCGGCCATTTAGATGCTTATTCATTTGAGGTTTTTATGGAGTGGGGCTAATTGGTTTCAATGCGGGAGGGGGAGTCTTCGCTCGAAGGCAGAAATACTAATTTTACTAATGGCCGAGTGAGTAGGCCTGTTTGGGTGCGGACGTCGACCACACGAATGTGTCCATCTTTTCCAGGGTGCAACCTTTCGATGCGGCCCAGGCGCCATTCCGTGGGCGGGAGTGTGTCATCATTAATGACTACGCATTCTCCGATTCTGGGTTCTACTTGAGCATTCTTCCACCTGTGTCGCTTATGAAGGTCTTTAAGGTAGTCTTCCTTCCATCGTTTTGCGAATTGGTGGTGTAAGACCTTGAGTTTTTCCCATCTATTAATGAGCTAGAGGTTTTCGTGATTCGATTCGGGGAATGAGAGGAGGGGAGCACCCCGGAGGAAGTGGCCAGGTGAGAGCGCTGTAGAGATATCGGACGAGAATTTAATACAGCTTCTACTCTTATAAAAAGGGTAGTAAACTCCTCAAACGTAAATTTGTGGGGCCCGGCAGTCCTTTTGAAGTGAAGTTTAAAGCTTTTAACTTGCCGACTCCCATAAGCCACCCATGTGCGGGGCGCTGGGAGGGATAAATTGCCAATTAATACCCTGGGGTGAGTATTTTTGGACAACATCACGGGATACCATTTGGAGAAAGACAGAGAACTCCTTTTCAGTGTCTTATTTGGCTCCTATAAAAGTTTTGGCCATTGTCACTCATCATTTTAGCGGGGTAACCACGGCGACCAACAAAACGAGCAAAGGCGACGAGAAATGCCTCATTGGTCAGGTCTGAGCACAGCTCGAGGTGTACCGCCTTTGTTGTGAAGCACACAAAGACGGCCACATAGCCTTTCAGCTTTTATAGCTTTTATTTGAAAAGGCCCAGCAAAATCGATACCGGTGGTGGTGAAGGGCGGAGCGAAGGTGCATCGTTCGGGCGGCAGGGCAGCCATAATCTGCGAGCTCATTTGCTGTTTGTGAATGGTGCATGATTTACATTGATAAATGCATTTTTTGATGAGGGGTTTGAGCCGGGGAATGTAGAATTCTTGCCTGGTCATCTGCTGCATAAGTCGTACTTCTGCATGGAGGAGTAGATCATGGAGAAACTTTAGATAAAGGAATGCGAATCGGGACTTTTCCGGAATTATAATGGGGTGACGTTCGTTATAGCTCAAGATAGCATGAGCAAGGCGTCCATTGACGCAGAGAACTCCATTTTTATCCAAGAAGGGGTTAAGAACTAATAGTGAACTCTTTTTGTCAATGGGTTTGGAGTCTTCCAAGCGGGCCCTTTCATGGAAGAAATGACGGGTTTGCGTGATTATAATCAGACGAATTTTCGCGTAGCGGAGATCATCATGTGATAGCGGGGAGGATGCGCGGTCATGAGCTCCTGGCGCTTTGTCGGTTAGTCGTCTGATGAACTTGAAGACGTAGGCCATCACTCTCAAGGCTCGAGAGAAAGAGGAAAACCTGTCCAGAACATCGGGATCTTCTTCGGTGGTGAGTAATGCCTTCACTCTTCGCACTTCCGGCGGGTTGACATTTCGAACTAAGGGTTTTGGCCATTCTTCGGGGGGCTTGGATAGCCAAGCAGGACCGTTCCACCATAACGAAGACGCTGCTAGGTCTAGTGGCTTGCAACCCCTTGTGCCCATATCTGCGGGATTGTCGCTGCTGCGTACATGTCGCCAGGTGGCGTTTCCGACGAGTTCCAAGATCTCCGCGGTGCGATTCGAGACGAACGTTTTCCAAGAGTGGGGTGGTTTTTCCAGCCATGCCAATACAATCTCAGAGTCAGACCATAGTACCAGTTTTCTTTGAGAGAGGTCGAGATTGGACTGGACAGCTGCGACAAGTTTGGCTAAGAGAAGAGCTCCGCAGAGCTCAAGCCGGGATAAACTAGTTCGAAGGGGTGCTACCTTGCCTTTGGAAACCAGAAGATGGGAAGAGGTACTGAAACCATGAGTAGTTCGAACATATACGTTGGCACAATATGCCTTTTTGAGGCGTCACAGAATCCATGGAGTTCAACATGCTGGTCAGGAATAAAGTTTACCCATCGAGGAATTTGAATGTTCGAGATTGTATGGAGATTGGTTGCGAACTGAGACCATTTAACAAGACGGAGGGGTTTGACTTTCTCGTCCCAGTGAGTTCCGTCGATCCAGAGCTCTTGTAAGAGAATCTTTGCCTTGATCATTATCGGCGTAAGCCACCCTGCGGGATCAAAAAGTTTCGCGACAGAGGGGAGAATCTGTCGTTTAGTGCTAGCAGATGAGGCTGGGATGGAGTCGATCGTATAGGAAAACGTGTCTGTGAGCGCATTCCATTGGATCCCTAGAGTCTTTGTGATACTTGCTTTTTCGAACTCGAGAAAATTAGTATCGAGCAAGTCTTCTTTCCTTATATTTTTAAGAACTTCTGGGTGGTTCGCTGTTATTTTCTTCAAGGGAAAGCCTGCCGAGTTTAGGGCCTGGATGACTTGGGTGAGAGATTGAGTGGCGATTGTCAGATCGTGGCTGCCAGAGAGTATGTCAACCACATGCGTTTCTTTATTCAGAATGGGGGCGGCCATTGGGTAGTTGGTTTTTTCATCTTGTGCTACTTGGTGAAGTGTGCCAATGGCGAGGTAGGGCGCACAGTTTACATCGAATGTGACCGTTTTTAATTTATAATCTTGAATGGGACTGGTTGTGGGTGAACGAAAGATTATTATTTGAAAGTCCTGGTCTTCGGGAGGTAGCAGTATTTGTCGGTACATCTTTTCGACATCACCATTAAATACAAATTTATACATTCGCCACTTGAGGATGAGAAGCAGGCTGGAGAGTTGGTCCGGTATATAATATATCGTTAAGAGAGTAACCGGATCCCGACATTTTTGATGAATTAAAGACAACTCGTACTTTTGTCGTTCGTTTTTCGGGCTTAATGACCGCATGGTGAGGGAGGTAGAACGACATGTACTTGCCTGAGAGGAATTTTTCTTGGGAAACCGTTTTTTCCATGTGGTTTAGGGTGAGGTATTCTTCCAGGACATTATCATATGAGGCCTTTAAATCGCCCTTTTTGAGGAGGTTTCTCCCCATTCCGAGATGGGATTGAGAGTAACCTAAAGAGATTTCTTTGGGGAAACTTGGCTTGAACGGAAGCCTGACCACATAACGACCATCAGAGGAGTATTTTGCTCTCATTCTCTGAATAGAATGATTGCACCTGAGTTCCTACTGCTTCCTGTTCATTAGTGTCTGTTTGGGGTGAAGTGTGCACACTTGAGTTTGTAGTAATTGTGGTTGCCACTTGCGAACTGGTTTTTTGTACTCTTGGGGGTTGCCTTTTCGGCATGGAGTTTGTGGCTTTATGGATCACTGAGTTGTGCCGTTCACTACAATGGCTACAGGTTTGTGTGCTAGGGCAATCTTTCAACAAGTGTGACTGGGATAGACAATTGAAGCACATATTATTTTCTCTTACGAACTTCTTGCGATCAGAGATTGACAACTTTCGGAATTTGAAGCAGTTCCACAGCGAATGAGAGGAGGTCTTACACATCGAACATTTGTGCATTATTCGCTGCTCTGTCACGTGAGATTGTATTTGTGACATCGATCTGTTTTGAAAGTTTTGAGAGTGAGGGGGTTTAAAAGGTGGTTTGTTATGAGAGAAAGGCGGCTTTGAAGAGCTATTGGGCTGAACAGGAGGTCTCGCCTTCGGCAGGCGCCATTGATCAACTCTTTCGGCCACTTCATAACGAGTGGTGAGGAACTGGCCCATTTGGGACCAGTTGGGCAGGTCTTTCCTCGAGCTGAGGGGTTGTTCCCACAGGGATACTTTAGTTTCGGGAAGCTTAGAGGTTACTATATAAATAAGGATGGGGTCCCAATTTTCAGTTGAGACTTGCTGAGTTGCGAGAATTTGAAGGCAGTTGTTTACTGAAGACTGCAGCCTTTGTATGTCTTCGCTGCTTTCGGTGGGAATGGGTTTGAGGTTCATTAAGATTCGTATTTGGTTGTCTACCAAAATACGCTTATTCTCATATCGAGACCGAAGTGCTTCCCATGCGAGATTAAGGCTTTCATCACAGAGAGAGAATTGCTTTACTATTTGGTTGGCTTTTCCTTGAGTTTTGTACCTGAGATGGTACAACTTTTGGCCTTGGGTTAGTTCAGGGTGATTTATATATACCGCTGTGAACATATCCCGGAAAGAAGGCCATTGTTCATAACTTCCGTAAAATACTTCGGTCTCACAAGGAGGGACGGTTAAGCCGAGGCCAGACTGGCAGTTGGGTTGTGATGTAGAGTGAGTCGGCATGGGATTGCTCACTTGCTTATGAAGATGGAGCTGGTCAGCGATTTGAGCTTTAGTGTCTTCGTATTGATCGAGACAAGACCGATATTTGCGAAAAGCACTAGCTTTGAAATTTTCGGGAAGGTCTTGCTTGTCTGCCTCTACAACTACATCGTAAGAGTTTGAACTCGATTCCAAAAATTGTCTAAACTCGTATCTTTTATTTTCAGGCTTGATTCTGAGTTATTTTCGAGAGGTAGAGATTTGAATCTTGAACAGTAATCGACTAAATTATCAGTCTCTGCAATAAACTTAACGGAGGCCAATTGCCTTTCTTTTTTTGAAGTTTTCCTGCTTGAGTTTCGATCGCAACGATTTTCTCTTCATCACTCATGTTGGGAATTTGGGATTCTTCGTTAAGCCCCGAGAAAATTTATAATTTAGTCTGAAAGGACTGGGGTTGAGAGACTGAGAGAGAGAGATGCCTGAGGGAGATTTAAAGAACTCGAGAATACTAAGAATGCAATAAAATTTATTAATTTTTTTTTTTTTAAGTAAATGCAATTCCTCTTACATGAATGCCAGAGAACTTAATGCAATTTCTTTTTAAGGGAATGCCAGAGAATTTAATGCAATTCCTTTTTAAAGGAATGCCAGAGAAGTAAATATACAGTGATATTAAATGAGTCGATTGCAAATTAGAGAAAAATTTAGATTTAATTTATTTACTAATTTATTTATTTAACCGTTTTTGAGAATATAGTAATATCGAGAAACTTGCTCAGCGAATGAAAGTGTACGAGATTTAATTTATTTTATGTAAATGCAAGTTTATTTCACGCGACTGTGACCTCAGTATTATGTGTATGTATATAGGAGGACCACACAGTTGAAGAACGAGAATGCGCTTCTATTACTTTTGGTAAAATGCAAATTTAATTCGCGGGACTGTAACCAATGGTATTTGTATATAAGCGCCGTCAACTTTTGTTTATTAACCTTATCGCACTGCAAACCGACCACTGTATCGCACTTTATATATGTAGATATGTATGAGATTGTGTGTATATAAGTATGCCTATGTGTTTATATATGTGTGTTTATGTGTCGCTTTGTAATATTGTCTCACTTGTGCACCTTTGTTGTCATGAAATCGCAACTTTTATTTTAAACAAGGGGAAACACTGCTGAGAAAATGTTTAAAATTTATGTATTATTACGAGCAAACGTTGTGGGGAATTTAAGTTTGTATACATAAATATCAATGAGAAATTATATTTGATTTGGTAAAACCGAATGTAGGAGGAGGGGTAATAGAAAATTGCCTATGTGCTTGTAAGTAGAACTGTATATATATGTGTGGACTGTATGTGTAAAACGCTCGAGCGGGAAAATATGTACAAATAGGCGGGAAGAGAAATCAGTACATATGTACATACATGCATATATGTATGTATTTTCGAGATACGGGATATTGGCTCTCGGAACTTATTTACTCGAAAACTTGGAAGTATACATATATGTATGTATATGCACGAATTTCCAAAAAATTCTTTAACGGGCTGAGGATGCCGTTTTATTTGGAAAAAATGGCACACAAGGTTTTTATGAATTTTAGGTTATTTTTTTTGAAATATTTTAATGCAAGACTTGTAAATGTGGATGTTGTAAATACCGTGGGAATATGAAGCACTAGGAGAAATATATGCTTACTTACGGTTTGTAATAGGGATTTTTTACTTCCTGCTGGTTCGGGGTCTGCTGGCGCAGAAGGACCAAAATGGCGCGCAGTGGGCTTCCTTGTGGCGAGTGGTGGTGCTGCGGGAGGTACAATCTCCAAGTGATCGCCAACGGTGGCGATTTGATAGGCGACACAACTCTTGCGGCGACGGGGTAGCGGTGGTGAACTGGATGCACGGTCTTCGTTGCGACGATGGAGTGGATGATCACCTGTTGATAGGCGACACAACTCTTGCGGTGACGGGGTGGCGGTGGTGAACTGACTGCACGGTCTTCGTGGCGACGATGGAGCGGATGGTCACCTGGTGCACTCAAATGTCGGTGCTGTTGGACGGCTTATTTCGCCGGAACACTTTGGCACAACACAAATGGCGTTTGTTGGCGGAAATGAAAGAGTCTACAAATGTATTTAATGGTACTTTATTTGTACGCCCTTTACAAAGCAAATTTATTATAATAAGCCGTATGCGGTTAAATTACAAAATGCGGATGAACTAAATATATGTTCTGAGAGTCTATGATTTTCACGCACGAGCACTACGACTTCTTTTTAGAAACGGTAGAAATTATGCGGATATTTAGGATTTCGCTTAACTATTTCGCGCACGAGTACTGCAGCTTTGTGTGGATACCAAAAACCGATTGATGAAAGGAAAAATATATACTCTTCTGTCAAATGGAAAGTATGTTCATACATACAATATGTGTATACAGCGAGTGCTCTTGCTAGCGAATGGCTCCCGCGTTGCCAACTACTTAATCATAACGTACAATAATGCTTACAATTTTTTTTCGACATCGTTCCTAGCAGATTCGGATTCTACATAAAATTCTAAGAAAAAAAGCCCTTTAGACCATAGCCCTAAAATCAATTTCGAGCCTGCGCAATTTTAAAAGAAAATATCTTTAATTAATACTAAGTCCATAATCAGATTAATATTTACTAAGGTGCTAGGATTTTTTTTTTTTGTAATAAAGAGTTGTGCTCCGGAGTTTTGTGATATGCAAAATTCATTTCTGATATCTATTTTTTATTTAATGAACCGCAATATGGCGGTTCAAATTAAATCTACTATATATTTGTGGAAGAATGTATGTGTGTATGTGCCAGGTTGCAGCCTAAACGGATGGACAGAATTGAATAAAATTTTGCCAAAGTATTGCCATGACTCCTGGACCTATAATAGGGTAAAAAAATTGGATCTCGCCAAGGGGGGAGGTGGATGGGGGATACCTCCCATAGTGAAAATTTTTAATCAACTCTAACTTCGGAATTATAGTCATATGAACTCGAAATTTGAAATGCACAGATACCTATGGTAGGTGCTTATGGAAAAATATATGTATATAAATGAGTTTGTAAAAAGGGGCGTGGCACATCTCATAGGTGTGGAATCTTTTATCAGCTATAACAGCAGGCAGTATTAGTGATCTCAATGTATTGCATTTTGAAGATTTGTTATAATTGATCACAGTGAAATTCAGATAAATTATAGATGATATGAAGTTCACCGGGTCATCTTCTAGTCTTTAATATATACTTAGTTAATATATGGATTAATATTTACTAAAGTGTTACGAACGTTATATTTTTAATACAATAAGAAAAAAATACCTATAATTTAAAGGAGTGACACACAATGGCTAGATACGTCGCATGTGTGTATTCTTTCATATACATATATATGGGCCGTTCTTACCGTTACATATTTTTCATCCACTCGCTTATTCCTTACCGAAAATTTTAAATAAAAATTTAACAAGTTTTAACCGCTGATACAGTACAGGCAGCAGTTTAAAATGGGGAACTGGGTAAACTTAATAAAGAAAACATATTCTCTGGTTAAATTAATAAGCCTGCCCGGATAACACAAAATCCTAAGCTTGATAAACATTTGGTGTTATACAAGTTTTATAAAGCTCTACTTGTATTTAGGAAAAATGCCGAAAAAAAAATTATAAAATTTATTGATTGATTGATAAAAATAGAGAGGGAGTTATGGCTATGACAATAGAAAGTAGAAAAAAGATACCTCGTGTTGAAAGCGAAAAGGATCTAAAACCAAAAAAAATATAAATACATTGTTAATCATAACAAAATTAATGATTCGAAAAATTATTTTGAAATATTGTACAATTTTTTTTTTTGGTTTTTTAAAGTTAACGTTTCATTTACTTACAGTAACGAACAAAAGTATTGGCACAGTGAATTTTACGCAATATAGGCAAAGTATTTTTTAGAAGAATTCCAAGTATGCAGTTTAGTAATCCATTCAGTTTTAGTTTATCAAAGTGCAAGTTTGAAGTTGCTTGAAAATCTGAATATAAAATTGCAAATTAGTATCCAGATTTATTGGATTTTCCTGAGTTTTGCACAAAGTTAACACATTTGATTTTTATATGTTTTGGTATAGTATGAACTATGTTTTTATAAAAAATTATCGGAAATAAATTAAAACCTTTGCATATATGTAATGCGAAAATTTACTGTGCCAAAACTTTTGTTCGACACTGTACATATAAAAAAATACATACAGTAACTTCTCCCGTTACAATAGTAACAAATATGTAATTTGCTTTGTAGTGCAATCTTGCGGTTCTTTAAATAAAAAATAGATATCAGAAATTAATTTTTCGTATCAATAAACTCCCAAGCACAGGTTTGTATTAAAAAAAATATAGCCGTAACACTTTATTAAATATTAATCTGCATATTTTATTAATTCGTCGGAATATTTTTTTATGTATGTTACCGGATAACTTTGGACTACGTTATCCGTTTTCTACAATTCTTTTTTAAAGGAAAGGTGGTTCCTCAGAGGTAGTTTCCTGCTAACTGAATATAGATCCGATAATTAGGCCATAGAGAAAATAACGGTACTCTTAAATTTGTATATGAGAACTGAAGTCGGTTTTGTTTTTAACCGACTTCCAAAAAAGGAGGAGGTTATCAGTTCGTCGGAATCTTTTTTTTTTTTTTTTTTTATGTATGTTACCGCATAACTTTGGACCACGTCAACCGATTTCGATAATTCTTTTTGCATCGGCAAGGTAGTGTCTCAGAGGTGGTCCCATACTAATCTGGTTGAGATCCGATCAGTGGATCATGAGATATATATATATATATTTTATTTTTATATGGGAGTTGAAGTCGGTTTTTTTTTTGCTAAAAATTACTTGTTTGCTTAAAATTTACTACAGTGTCCACAGCTTCCATAAAAGAGTCGTAGGCCATATTTTTTTTGCTAGTTCAATCGTGGAACATTTGTATGAATTGCTTCGGCTAATACTTCGGCTTTTGTTCTCTTTTTATATCGAGGCTAAGTGCATTGTTCGATGGGGTGATATCATTGCCAAACATGATAGTACTTTGTTTGCCATCAATTAACACTAACTTGTCGGAGTTACAGTATTCTACATTGATGCGAGCCTCAAAAGCTTGGATTAATAATTGCGAGTATGGCTTTTAGTTTTTACCACTCAGGTAGGTGACAGGAGAAAATAGAAAATATTTCATAATCAATAATTTTTCAAATACTTTTCGTTTGACACCTATATTATTATACATACTTTATCTTATTAACTTTATTGAATTAAATTTTCGAAATTGGTGGCAACTCGACTCAAAAATATTTTCAGTAGTAAGCCTTCTTAAACCTTTTTAATTTGATACCCATATTGCAATATTTAATTTATCTTACCAATTTAATTTAATTAAATTTTGAAACAGGTGGCAACCCCCCTCAAAAATATTTTCGCCTGTAAGCCTTCATAACCTCTTTCTTTTGACACCCATATTGCAATATCTAATTTATGTCATTAATTTACTTATACTGAAATTTTTAAACAGGTGGCAACTCTCTATTTTTTATCGTTTTAACCATCCGGATATTATAAAAAACAAAGCAAAAAAATAAAAATATTCAAATCGGTCAAGCCGTTTTCGAGTCTTAGCGAGGCTAACGGACAGCAATTCATTTTTGTATATAAGATATCTTCTTTTAAAAATGCGCAGGCTCGAAATTGACTTTAGAGCTATGGTCTGGAGGAATGTTTTTCTTAGAATTTTATGAAGAATCCGAATATGCTAGGAACAATGTCGAAAAAAATCAATCCATACAAATTGACCCGCCCTAGCTTACATAAAGTGTTCACTAAGTATAATTCCAAGTGCAATGTATGCAGTTTGATAAATATAAATTCAAAGGTATTCAAAAGATACAATGGCAAAAGTTAAAATCATATTTGGTAGATGTTTTAGTACAAATTCAAAAGTAGATACGCATAGTTATGAATGCATACAAATTCAATAAATACATACATAGGGTGCTAGCGTATATATCGCATAGATATGAATGCATACAACCTCAATAAATACATTCGATGAAATACTGTGGACGGGTTTCCGCATTGGTCGCTCCAACAATCGTAATTTTATAGAAGGAATAGTTATTGCGGCAATAACAGCATCCCAAGCGTCAGGTTGCATTAAGAAATATTTTTCAAATCTTTTGAGTAAAGCTTCTTGCATTCTTTGGCTTACATCGGCTAAATATTTAAAGCTCGTGGGCTCTAAATGACGCATTTTTAGCCTTAGGGACACTATAGTAGGGACAAAGTAACCAAAGTACATGGTCTTTTCGCCCTGAAGAAAATCGATCGCTTCTGCTATAGGCGCCATAAGCTTTACGTATTCGTCCAAGTACTCAAGCTCATGACTGAGAATGGCAGGAATTTTGAGACTGCAGCAACTTTTTTACAGACTCATAAAGTGAGTTCCACCTTGTTATGCATGGAGTTAATAAATTAGCGTTTATAACTTCATAGATTACTTCTGAAGATTTAGGTCTATTACATTTGTTCCAAATCTGTGCGCATCTAAACAAAAGACAAAAATAAATACATATATGAAAGGTATTCAATTTAACACTCTTCAAGTTTAGGTAAAATAAAGTGGACGGAGTAGTAACGGCATGAGTTAAAAAAAAATAGTACGATTTTGATCGACGTAAGAACATTTGTACATCCGACCAGGGACGATCAGAACAGTACACATCTCCACGAAGTAATACCATAATAATGCCTTGTCTAAACCTGGCTTATGACTGATTTTAAAGGGCCACTTGAAGGTTATAATTTGTAATTGGCTACAAAACTGCATATTTATATAATTTTTCTTTAAAGATGCCGATTAAAAAGTTTTACATTTTGGTGAAACTTTACAGAATTTCGTAATTTTTCCACAAAGTATGAAATTTGAACTGTTATGGGTTTTGTTAGGTAAGGAGCTATACCTTCATAAAACAATAATAAACACTAAGTAAAGTAAAGAAAAATAGCCAAAATTTGCTAAAATGCTCGATGCGTTTTTGACCATGGAATAAGTGATTTTATCCTTTCCTGGTGTTGTTCCCTTT